CTTCCCCCTTCTTTTTTCTTCCTTTTAGCTCTGTTATTATAGAAATTTTCCAACATACAAAAAGATTCAGAGGATATTATAATGAACTGCCATGCATCCATCATATGTCTTCAACGATTATGTATGGTTTTGCCACTGAAGGATATTTTTTTAGATGCAGTTGACTTAGGCAGATTCATACACTGGGGAAAGAGCCAGGGTTGAGGGAGCAGTTGAAAATTTAGAAGAGAAAGATGATAATTGATGGAACAAAGTTTTTTTTAGGAAGCAAGTGATGGAGTGTGGCACTGGTGGAGATCCTGGCTCTACATAGTAAGAAAGAGACTTTGTTCACTGAGTTGAGAGAAAAAAGATAAGAATTGCTGCCTCTCAGAAATCTGGTTAAAATTCTAATTTCTGGAAGTTTACTGTGCTAAATTCCTCCAATTTCCCGTTGTCACTATACTCCATATCCCCTTAGGCTACCTCAGTTCCCCCTTGAAGTCATTCATTATGTTTTTTGGAAAAGTCTATTCCACCCAAGCGTTTAATGAGTTCAGTAAATTTACTGAAGATATACCATATACAGAGAGTAATCACATTATAGACACCACCATCTACCATCCTCCATCTTGCGTGCAGCCTCTGTTATCTCTCCAAAGTAACAGAGAAACTGTTGCTTTGTCCTACAAATAGAAGTCGCTTGCTAAGAGGAATTCTGGGGAAGAAAATGTTCTCCATCACTTTACATACAAATTAAATTTTTGGTGTTATATCAGGAAATGAGCAAATCCATGTCTAGGGATGATTAATTTATTTGCAAAATAAGAAGAGTTCATTTGGAAGGAGTTCATTTGGCTGGAATTGAGTAGGAGGAAGCTTTAGGAGCGTGGCAAAGGTTTGGAATATTGCCAAAGCCTTCTTTTTAGCTTTACCTAAAGTGATGTCTTACCTTCTAATAAAAAATGAAAACTGCAAAATGCCCCCACCCCACATAACTCGGAAATGAGAATAGGATTATTAGGGGATGTTGGACTTCTGTGAACTGACACTTAAGTAGGAAGGACTGCCAACTGATCCCTTTTTGTGATGACTATGGGAAAATAAGGTTAGGAAATGGTGTCAGGGAACTTTTCTCCATTTAAGTCTGAATAGGTAGGTATTTGCATGAGCATTTTCCCAGTCATTCATTAGATAACAACTTCATTCTAGAGGTAGAAATGTATATTGCAGACATTTTTACAAGCTTCTTGTCTCCCAAGTGTATCTCCCTTCCTGGCCACATTTCTATCTGTGACATTTTGCAGTGAGTACCCAACAGTGAGAGTAATGATTGAAGCCAGTGATTTCAAGATAATTTCTCTGCATTCTCAGAAGGCTTCCGAGGTTGATTACCATGAAGTACCAACTTGATAATAATTGCCTAATTCTCTTGATAGAGAAAAAGATGTAATTTGGAAATAATTGACCTAACAAAAGAAAAATGGATAGATGCTTAAAAAAATTATTTGGGTCATTGTATTGTTAAAAGCAATAAATACTTTGGAGTTAAAATACCATAAATGTAACAATATAAGTATTATATATGTATGACTACATAATTTACATTTTAATAGCTCATTTTCTGCATTTAAAGTCTTTTTCTTATAGTGGAGAAAACATAAGGACTAAAAAGGATTTAAAACTGGATCCTTAGAGTGTCAACATTTGTAACCACACATATAAAAGTATATCACTAATATGTTATTCTTGACAATGATCCACAGAATTCACTTCTCAGGAAAAATAAATCAGTCCAGTTACTTCCCAGTCTACTCAAGTGATGGTGTTTCTATCTTTTAAATTTGATTCGTAGATGCCAGTCTTTCCAGTGAATTACATCAATAATTTAAGTCAGTGCCAAAAGACTATGAGAAAAGTTGATGCTTTGAATAAAATTGAGCTTCTCCAAGGCAAATAAATTTTCATGTCCACCAAGTATAGACATTTTTTTCATTGATTCAGGACTTGAATAATAAAACAACTTTATTCCCATGCATTTTAAATTATACATTTAGGTAGAGACAATTATGTTATGTAGAATTACATAGAATTGCATTTTAAGAAACAGGTAAGGAGAAAGCTACAATAATCAAGACAGTATAGTATTGGCAAAAGAATAGACAGATAAATCTATGGAATAGAATAGAAAACCCAGAAATAGACCTACATAAAAATAGTCAACTAATTTTTGACAAAGGAGCGAGGGCAATACAATGGAGAAATTATAATCTTTGTAGCAACTGGTGCTGAAACAACTAGACATACACATGCAAAAAATTGAAGCTAGATACAGACCTTACACCTTTCACAAAAATTAACTCAAAATGGATCACAGACCTAAATGTAAAACACAAATCCATAAAACTCCTAGAATATAATATAGGAGAAAAATCTGACCTTGGGTTTAGTGATTACTTTTTGGATATAACACCAAAGGCAAAAATCCATAAAAAAAGAATTGATAAGCTGGACTTCATGAAAATTAAACATTTCTGGTCAGTGACAGACACTGTTAAGGGAATAAAAAGAGATTATCTCCCATATACTGGGAGAAAGTATTTTTAAAAGACATGTCTGATAAAGGACTATTATCCAAAATATACAAAGAACTCTTAAACCTCAACAATAAGAAAACAAACAATCTGATTTAAAAATGGTCCAAAAACCTTAACAGACACCTAACCAAAAAAGATACACAGATAGCAAATAAGTATATGAAAGATGTTCCACATTATATGACATCATGAAAATACAAATTAAGACAACAATGAGATACTACTATATACCTATTAAAATAAAATATTATTTCAGCCTTTAAAAAGAAGGAAATATTGCCATTTTCGACAACATGGATGAACCTGGAGGACATTATGCTAAGTGATATAGCCAGACACAGAAAGAAAAATATTACATGATCTCACTTATATGTGTCATCTAAAAAAGTCAAATTAATAGAACCAGGGAGTAGAATGGTAGTTACTAGGTGTAGGGATGGGGTGGGAGAAATGGGGAACTGTTGGTCAAAGTATGCAAAGTTTCAGTTATGTAGGATTAATAAGTTCAATCCTATATAACTGATACCCAATGTACAGCATGGTAACTGTAGTTAATAATACTGTATATATACTTGAAATTTGCTAAGAGAGTATATCTTAAGTGTTCTCATCACAAAATAAGTTAACTGTATATTAGGTGACAGATATATTAATTGACTTCACTATAGTCATTGTTTCACAATATGTACATATATCAAAACATCAAGCCGTACACCTTAAGTGTATTGACCAAAATCCAGAACATTGACAACACCCAATGCTGGTGGGGATGTGGAGCAACAAGAATTCTCATTCATAGCAGGTGTAAATGCAAAATGGTACAGACACTTTGGAAGACAGTTGGGCAATTTCTTACAAAACTAAACATACTCTTACTACGTGATCCAGCAATCGCACCCTTTGGTATTTACCCAAAAGAGTTAAAAACTTATGTCCACATAAAAACCTATGTGGGAATGTTCATAACAGCTTTATTCATAATTGTTAAAGCAACCAAGATGTCCTTTAGTAGGTGAATGGGTAAGTAAACTGTAGTATAACAAGACAATGAAATATTATTGAGCACTAAAAAGAAATGAACTATCAAGCCTTGAAAAGATATGGTGGAGGAAACTTAAATGTATATTACTAAGTGATAGAAGCCAATATGAAAAGGCTGCATATTGCATGATTCCAACTATATGACATTCTGGAAAAGGTGAAACTATGAAAGCAGTAAAAATATCAGTGGTTGCCAGAGGTTAAGGGGAAGTGATGAATAGGCAGAGCACAAAGGAGTTTTAGGGCAATGAAATTATTCTGTATGATAGTGTCATGGTGGGAACATGTCTTATACATTTGTCCAAACCCATAGATTGTACAACATCAAGATTGAGCTATAATATAAATGATGGACTTTAGAGGATAATGATGTGTCAATGTAGGTTAATCAGTTGTAACAAATACACTACTCTGGTATGGGATGTTGATAATGGGGGAGGCTGTGCTTATTCAGGGTCAGGGAGTATATGGCAAATCTCTGTACCTTCTGCTCAATTTTACTGTGAACTTAAAACTACTCTAAAAAATAAAGTTTATTAAACAGAAAAATATATTTCAAGACAGCTAAAAAAAAATGAAGCAGCAGGCATAGAGTGTTTTCCTCTATGGAAAACAATATGGAGATTCCTAAAAGTATATACGTTTAAAAGGTTCTGAAGATAGAGAGGAACATACTGAGAAATTTACTATGGAATGCTCTCTGTTTGTATACCTAGTACTGGTATATATTGAAGGACATCAAGAAGAAATATAAGACACAGTTGGTCTTGACTCCCCAGAAGCTTATAAGACAATTGAGGAAACAAAACACACTATGTAAAAGACTCAACATGTTCAGACAGACAGGAAGGTGTTTTAGTTTGGGTTGCCCCTGAAGCAGACCCTGAGAGGAGGATTTAAGTGCATGTACTTTGGGAGGAAGGTGTAAGAAACATGGGAGAAGAGAAACAAGGCAGGGAAGGGGAGGCAGCCAATAAAAGGAGCATTATTAGACAGCTATCACAGTGGATGACTAGAAGTTAATCCTACAAGGAAACACTTGGAAATGGTATCGAACACATGCCTCAGAGTTATTCTACCCAAGGAGTGGGGGATCCAGGATACTTACATTTCAGCTGTTAATTAGGGCTGGAATTGGAGTGTTGAGGGCTCTCCCAGAAGTATTAATTCCTGGTACTTCAGCCTGCTAGGCACCTGGGCAGAGCAGCGTTCTTCAGATCTGGAAAAAGTCCTCAGGCACAATGGGAAGATATTGACAGCCAGAAGTCAGCCTGTGCACATAAAACAGAGAAGAGTCCAAGAAATATGGACTGACCGTGTCTGCTGTGGTAGGATTCCTGGTGGAGGTGAGAATTGACATTGCTCTTTCTCTTTTTTCCCTAGGCCTCTTCATGACAATATCCCTGTTGTCCATTGTGTACGGAGCCTTGCGCTGCAATATCCTAGCCATCAAAATCAAATATGATGAGTACGAGGTCAATGTGAAGCCTCTGGCCTATGTCTGTATCTTCCTCTGGAGGAGCTTCGAGATTGCTACTCGAGTTACAGTCCTAGTCCTCTTTACTTCTGTCATGAAGATCTGGGTGGTGGTCATTGTACTCATCAACTTCTTCAGCTTCTTCTTGTACCCCTGGATCCTCTTCTGGCTCAGTGGCTCTCCATTCCCTGAGAACATAGAGAAGGCCCTCAGTAGAGTGGGCACCACCATAGTGCTATGCTTTCTCACTTTACTTTATACAGGTATCAACATGTTCTGCTGGTCAGCTGTACAGCTGAAAATCGACAGCCCCGACCTTATCAGCAAGTCCCAGAATTGGTACCAGCCACTGCTGTACTACCCGCTCAGATTCATTGAAAATGCCATCCTCCTCCTCCTGTGGTATCTGTTCAAGACTGACATCTATATGTATGTGTGTGCACCCCTGTTGATTCTGCAGCTGCTCGTTGGGTACTGCACAGCCATTCTATTCATGCTTGTGTTCTATCAGTTCTTTCACCCTTGCAAAAAGCTCTTTTCCACTAGCGTTTCTGAAGGCTTTCAGAAGTGGCTCAGTTGTTTTTGCTGGGCCTGTAGGCGGCAGAAATCCTGTGAGTCAGTAGGAAACAGAGACCTAAAGTCATCCAGAGAGAAAGAGGAGACACCTTCTAGCAGTAGAATAAGTACTGAGCCCAGTCAGTTATTGAATGCTGATGAGCTCTGCTCTGCTTAACGGGACCCAAGGTCTCTCAGGGTACAGGCATATTTTTTTCTGGGTTTGATACCTGTTTTTAATACAAGTAATGAGCCCTGCACAGGGAAAAAGGCAGGAAGTTAGCTGTCAACTCCTTGTGAGCTGCTCTTCTTTATAGAGCTCTTGGGTATGTAGAACTATGGGGGGAAGCCAGGGAAACCTCTGAGTGTTGAAGAAAGGTACCACAGTTCCCAGGTGACCAAATCATGTTCTAGGCATTACTGGCCTTTTCACTGACAAGGTGCCCCTGAAACCTGAGTTGGGCTGGTTAGATCCATCAGGTAGAATGAGGAGAGGAGCTTACTTGTTTTCTAGTTTTCTGGACTGTTGGTCTGGGTCGCCTGATGATTTGTTGTTCCTGAATATAGTTTTTACCCTAGAGCTGTCCTGATGACCAGAGAAGGTTACTGGGGTTTTGCCATCAGCAACATCATTCCTGTCAGAGCTTACAGGGAGAGCTGTTGAAGTTTGGTTTTTGAATAGACAGATATTCCATTTTCATCTCATTAGGGCTCTTTGTACATAGCCAACTGTAGCCTCCCTGGCATGCTTTTCTAATTGATTCAAGAGCCTAGATTTAGACATTATTCCTTAGGATCCATCGGTGCAAAAATGAATTCTAAATTCGACTGTGGAAGTTTCTTAATTTAGGAAAGTTCTGATCCTTTGGTATGTTGAAGAAATTCTGGATCAGGAGGGATGTTAAAACATGGTAGAATTCTTACCATCCCAGAATGGTTGAATATGTGAATCTGCTAGATGATATGCTTAAACTTCCTCAAGATTCAGTTTTGTCCTGTGACTCTAGAAAATTTCTGGTAGAATTTTCTGGGATTCACCTTTTTAGGAAAGAAGAAAGTAAAACTTACAGTCTCCACTTCCACCTTCGCCTTCCTTGCCTGCCAGGAAAGTTTTAGATAAGAATTACCTTGATTAATAAGTTTTTCTGAAAACCCCTGCAGAAATTTCTCACCAAGTTCAGGTGTTATAGGGTATTTTAATTTTCATTATTTGAAGGAAGAGGGTTTTCCTCACCACCACCCCTAGTTAGAGATTGACTTCTGAAATGTTTCTTAAATTACAGAAAGAGATTAAATGACTAGATTTTTATCTTTCATTGAATGCATTTTGATTTGCCATCATTGTGACTTAGTTTGAAAAAAGATTTCAAATTTTATCCTCCTATGTCCTTTTATCATCTGTATAATTTTTTCTTTAATTTGGAACCCTAATTGCTTTATAAAAGAGAACTGGATAGTATACCCTCAATCGTCCTGGAAAATTGCCTAGATCCAGTGCCACTATTTCTACCATTAAAATATTCATAATGAAATACTTGGAAACAGGTGACCATAAAGATCAGACCAATTTAGAATGAAGATTGGAGTAAAATCTGAGAAATTTACAAAGGGGACTCTATTTATGTACTCTATTTTACCAGATGGAGTAGGGATCCACTTCTTTGACTTTATTAGCCTAAAAAATGTGTTTATCTGGCCATCACATTTTTGGTAATTTTCCTTTCTAATTCTTGGTATCAAATTTATAAGTAATTCCATACACACAAATAAAAAAGCAATTTGGTAATCAATTTCCACTACATTCAGGGGTCAAAGAAACTATATATTCTTTTACAATATTCCATATTGTTTAATATTTTTATACAGTTCCATAGAAATATATCAATAAGCTCCCAAACTGTAGAGCTTCAAATTTAGTTTTATGAGATTTTTTTCTCATTTGAAATTTTCTTGGTTTATCAATATTTGTGGTTAATTTTGTGGAGATGTGCAGAAACAGATAATTTTTTGGTCTACTTTTAACCAAATAAAAATAAAACTCAAGATTGTCTATGTTCTGCCGGTTAGCACCACCTAATACTTGCCCTATTTTTAATAGGCCTAAAATAAATAGTGAGCATACATAACCAAAATGATACTTCTTACAACACATATACTTCCATGCACTCATGTAATCACATATGTGCATAGGTACACAATTGTAATACACAAAAGCACCCTTCAACATAACGACTGCGAGTAAAATAAAGCTAAGATGCTAAAGCATCTTTTTTTTTGGTCATTTCCTAGTTAGCAGAAGGGTTCTATGATGAGGAGGAGAGCAGTAAAGCCATTCCTAAATCATTCCAAGTGTTTCTTTTTATCAAACCAGTTAGTTGTGTTCCTTGACACCAGATATTTTCAATCTCTTTTGTGAGAAAGACATTCTTGACTTGATGGTTTGCAATAGCTGATGGTAGGGTTAATGATGCCTATTTTCCACCTGAAATGCCTTCAGGACATGCCTTGGGAGTGAAGAGTGTGAGCAGCCACCAGCCTGTCACTAACTAGGTGTGTTCAAAATTGGACAGGGATGAAGAGATTGGTATTTCCCAGCTTTAGCTTGGAAGCCTGTCTTAAAAACCATTACAATGTCTTAATCTTCAAATAACATTTTAAATCACTTTAGTTTAGAAGATAGGTAAGCACTTTGAGTGACCCCAAAGCAAACTAATAGTGATGGTCTGTCAGATTCCCAAAGCCTAATTCACACATTTATAAGGACAGAAGTTTTATAACTAAATTGGACATTTTGTCGTCTTTAACCCTTGATATACAGGTACCCCAGCTTTGGGGACACATATATATGTCCATTCACTTTGAGGGAGAGAAATCACTGCTTTTTTTCTGTATGGTGAAAATGTAAGTTTTAGTGAACTGAAAATTTTTATATTTAAATTTTTTACATCTTTGAATGGCAAAATTCCAGTTTACACTACAGAGCTAGGTTTTCCTAAAGGCGTAAAACAAGTCAGAAAATTTCTTCATATTTTGAGAGTTAAAATGTGTTTTTCAGTTATAATTTTAATTTTTAAAACTCTCAGTTCTTTGTCTAATTAATCACATGCCATAACTTGTCATGAGAACTGCTCCAACCAAATTGCTGTCATTTGGCTGGATGAGGGTAAAATATTTTTTCAAAATATATTGAAGTAAGTTTATAAAACATGTTTAGACTTCCTCTCATTGTTAGTAGAGACAACCCAGTATAGAGATTGGCATCTCTCTGTCCAGTCCTACAAGTTACTTAATTGCTGTATGCCTCAGTTTCCTGACCTACCAAATTTGGATGATATACTTGTCCAACCTACCTCACAAGGTTGTCAGAAAGATCAAATTTAAAACTAGGCATGAAAATGCTTTGAAAATATTTTTAAAGTGCCATGCATATTTAAAAAGTTGTTCTTATAGTTATTCAAATCCATAAGCAGGTTATTATTATTTTTTTAATGTTTGAAAAGAAATAAGTAGTGTCATCCACATGAATGTCCTGAGTGCGTATGTGAGCCTTTGGCCTTCGAGGCAGTTGCCCTTTCTCTTACCACCAGTTGCTTACAAAAGTTAGCACACAAACACATGGTACTTGGAGGGAAAAGACCCGCTGAATCTGAGAAAGTGTTTCTGATGGTAAATGAGTTTATTGTTTTGGTATAGTTTTCCATGTAGGATATAGCAACATCTTTTGATAATTGTGCTTTACAACTTGAATGCCTGATTCACGTCATTAATTGATTGTGAGTTTAATCTTTTTGTCCTTGTAAATGGAAAAATAAACATTAAAATTGATTGTCAAACAGCATTTTCTTGGAAACCACCTTACAACATTAGTGCTATGGTTATGAGTGTATGTGCCAGTACTTTTCAACCAATGTATTGTGGATGTGAGCTTTTGTCGACTGCATCTCTGCAGTCATTGATGCTAATAAATATTGTTATGTTTCTTCATATAATAAATTAATTTTTCAATGTCTCCTTGCATTTCTTTCCTTATACAGTCCTTATGTGCCCTTTTTTATTCTTCAGGGACTGCTTTAAAAACAGAAATTTGAAAATGGCTTATTGTGACTAATTATAGTTTATAATCTCACCTGGAAATTCCTTCTGTAGGATGAGAAATTTGAAAGTGCTAATATTCAGCCTTTAAGACAGCAACAATCCATAAAAAGTCATCTGATTGTTCTATAAGCATTTACGCCATTAGTTAAAGCTGTACTACTGGATACTAAAATTCTGCTCAGTTGTCTGACAGTTGCTGTGTTTGATACAAAGAAGAGTATATGAGAGAGAGAGAGAGAGAGAGTGTGTGTGTGTGTGTGTGTATAAATGGTATACTTATTCAGAAATATAAAACACCAAAGGGGTGGCTTGATATTAACATAAATAATCAAATGCAAATGACCATCCATGGTTGGAAAAAATATCAGTTGTTAAAGGGATCATTCCGGAGCATGAAATAGCCATGGACTGTTTCAATAATTTCTTTTCTTCTGATGGTCGCCTTACAGTTTGCAAAGACTTAGCTGTAGGATGTCTTTTTTTTAAAACAGCTTTATTGAGGTATAATTGATAATCAAAAAAACTACACATATTTACTATATACAATATGATGAATTTATACATATGTAAACACCCATGAAGTCATCACCACAATCAAGGTAATAGACATAACCATCACCTTCAAAAGTTTCCTGTGCCTCTTTGTTTTCGCTCTCAATTTTTTAAGAATAATGAGCATGAGATCTATCCTCTCAAAATTTTAAGTACAGTAGATCTCTAGAACTCATTCATACAGCATAACTGAAACTTTATACCCATTGAACATCAACTCACCATTTTCCCTTCCCTCTAGACCCTGGCAACCACCATTCTATTCTCTGCTTCTATGAGTTTTATTATTTTAGACAACTCATGTAGGTAGAATCAAGCAGTGTTTGTCCTTCTGTGTCTAGTTTATTTCTCTTAGCATAATGTCCTCTAACTTTATCCATGTTGTCACAAATGACAGGATTTCCATCTTTTTTAGGACTCAGTAATATTCCATCATATGAATATGCTACATTTTATTTATTCATTCATATGTCTATGGACATTTGGGCTGTTTTCATATCTTGGCTATTATGAATAATGGTGCAATGAACATGGGAGTGCTGATATCTCTTAAAGATCCTGATTTCATTGTTTTGGATACATACAAGTGGGATAGCTAAATAATATGGTAGTTCTATTTTTTTATTTTTTGAGGAGCTTCCATACTGTTTTCCATAGAGGGTGCACCATTTTACATTCCCACCAACAGTATACAAGTGTTCCAATTTCTCCATCCTTGCCCACATTATCTTTTGTTTTTTTGATACTAGCCATCCTAGTAGGTGTGAGGTGACATCTCATTGTGGTTTTGATTTGCATCTTCCTGATGATTAGTGATGTTGAACTCCTTTTCCTATACCTGTTGGACATTTGTATGTCTTCTTTGGAGAAATGTCTATTCCAGTCCTTTGTTCATCTTTCAATTAGATTTTTCAGGGCTTTTTGCTATTGAGTTGTAGGAGTTTCTTAAATATTTTTGAGATTAACCCCTTATCAGATATATATTTGCAAATATTTTCTCCCATATTATAGATTGCATATCCATCATTCTGTTGATTGCTTCATGTGCTGTGTAGATGTCTTTTAAAAGAGATCTTTTGGTGTTAAGAAAATTGAATGTCAACAAGTTTAGCATTCAGTTGGGTTAATATAAAATTACTTAATTTGATGTTTGTAAATGTTTTATTGTGAAACAATTTTAAACTAAGAGCCTGAAGAATGGTGCAAGGAATTTCTTTATAGCCTTCACCCAGATTCACCTATTATTATTTTTCCATGTCTGCTTTGTCATTCTCACTTTGTATTTCTCTCTCTCTTATGAGCCATTTGAGATTATGTTGTTGACATTACAGCCCTTTATTCCTAAATATTCAGTGTGTTTTTCCTAAGAATAAAGGTATTCATAACTACAGTACAATTATCAAGTCCAGGAAATTTAACGTTGACACAATACTAGTATCTAATCTATTCCATATTCCAGTTAACAATTGTGCCAATCACTTCATTTGTTTTCACAAAGCTTCCTCAACCATGTGAATCAGCGCAGTTCTCTTCTATGAGGCTGTCTTTATTTAAAACTGAATAAATTTTAACTTCTCTATAAATGCTTAGAAAACTACAGTGGACTTTGAAAAGTTATTTGAAGAAAACATATATATTATCAGTACTGACTAATAGCTTAAAATCATAAATTTGAAATGTTTATTGGCAAACTGGTTCTTTTTCGTGGATATGTGTTTTAGTCTTCATGTGTTTGCTGTTTAATATGTGAGCCTGTAGTTTACTTCCCTTCCCGTTCCCACCGTGATAGCTGTTTTATAGTTTTGGGCCCAAGTTTTAAAAGATTGTGAATGAGGTGACGAAAGTAGATATTATTCTGTTATGATCATCTTTCCCTGGGTATTCCCCTTCCAGGAGACTATATTTTCTATGAACATCTTTCCATCTGGGAAAGATCTCAGAAATCTCATCTATACATTGTAATTAAATGGTAGCATTTGAGCACTTTCTCTTTTTTCAGTAAAAGGCATTTCATAGCAGCAGAGAATTGTATAGAGCTGGAAATTCAGAAACATCCCCAATCCCTTCTTTCCTAGCACACAACAAACCCTGTCAGATGAGGCCCTTCTTAAGGTGCTCAGAAAGTGACTCTGCTGCAGAAGCTGCTCTAGGGAATGGCTTCGCTTGTCACCCTCTGTGCATGGTTGTTTCTCTGGAAGTTATTAGGTCAAGGAGGTCTAAAACAGTGTTGGTTTAAGCAGGTTTTGGAACTCAGAGCGTCTTCAAGGAGTGCTACAGCAGCATTCAGCAGCATCTCTCTGCAGCAGGTTATTAGAAAATTTCCCACTCAGACTCTGCTGTGGTATGCGCCATCATGTGAGCGAGTTGCAGGGTTTGCTTCCTTTCAAGGAGGATAGATTCATCCAGATTGATTTTGAGATTCTGCCTGTGCTTTTCTCCCTCCCTTCCCCCCTTCCTGAATTAATTTTCTCTCTCTGAATGATGAGTTCCTGATTGAAACCTGATTAGCCTTCTTCCTAGAGCCCTGGAAATACCATCCTCCTTAGACATCCGCATTATGCATACTGGTTTAATTTCTTATCAGTTTGCTTCCTATCTTAATTACCTAACTCTACAGTTAATGAGGCAGGGTTTCAGGAGCAACAGCATTCAAGAAATACCACAGGATTTAGAAATTCTGTTTCGTAGTGGTACCGCATGACCACCCTCACCACCACCCCAACAGAGAGGAGAATGCTTCCCTGCTGTCACCTTCTAACAAGGTGACCTTAAATGGATTGGCAGAATTTTCTAGAACAATGGTGCCCAGTTGTAGGGCTGACAGCCCCCAAGAATTGGAGAGGTATTGTGATCCTCTCCACTAACTGGAGATGTCTGGCACACACTTGTGCAATTATTTTTCAAACCAATGGGAATGCTGTTGTGAGTGATAGGATGAGACTGATGATAAGTGTCACTATAGTCAAAGTAACTTTGTCATTATCCTCCCAGTTCCCATTATGAGCAAATATTAAAAATTCAACCCCTATCATGTGGGGTGACTTTAAAAGTTGTCCTTTGTAATTGAAGCTATTGGGAACTACTACCCTAGGAGGGTTTTTCTCTGCTGGAATGTTTTCTCTTGTGGATTTATAGTATACACTTTTCTTTCTAAAATGAGGGTGTTTCACCCACAAATCACTTGACTTCTCTCATTTCCAGCTTAATCCGAGAGATGAGAAAATATTTTTATTTCAAAAGTATACTGTAAATGTTCTACCTTGAAAAAGTAAATATTTTCACAAAAAGTATCTCAAGGTGAAATATTTTTACAATTTCAAAACATTAATAAACGTATATTATTATAATATCTACCCAAATAAATGTCTACCAAATAAATTCTGATACCAGGGTGCTTTCAGCTACAATATGTAGGAAACCTGGTTAAAAGTGGCTTAGACAATAGGATTTCGTTATCTAAATCAACAAGCAGATTGGAGAGAGGTGATTCTAGATTCTAGCAGGCAAATCATCCTCAGAGCTTTCCATCTTTCTTGCATCACCTTGAACCTGTTGCTTCATCTTCATGCTTGTCTTCATATGATTTCAAGATAGCAACCTGAGCTCTAGGCATCATATATGTAAAACTGAATCCAAAATTAGAAAGGGGATTTCTCTTTGGGTATCTCTTTTATTCCTCTTTCTAATTCAAGCCCAATTCACATCCTACACCCCCCCCCCATGCTGGGCAGAGGATGCTTCACAGGGACTAGGGACAGTGTCAGACAAATGCAAAAGAGAAAAGTTCATTCATGTGTGTTTCATTAATAATACATGATTATTACTCTTATTGCAACTGTATAGGAACAGTTTATTGATTGCTAGGCCCTGAACAGTATTTGGGTGATGGGCACATTTACAGCCCTAACTCAAGCCATGTATCAAAAACTTTGTAACCCCCTAGTATTTTGAAATAAAAAAATAAAATAACAAAGGATGCAGCTTCCTCTTTACCTTATAATCTCACATTTACTTCTCCCTGGTTCCATACAAATATTTATATTTGCATGATGAATCACACATTTTAAATATTTTAAATTTTCTATCACTCCTGTTTCATCACATTTTTCAAATATTGATTTCCAAACTGATCCCTGGACAGTCACATTCCCCTTGGCCAGCAGGGGGCAGTGTTTGCTCAGCCAGGTCCAGAACGTTGCCCCTGCCTTAGCCCTGGGACCCTGCATGAGTTGGGTTGCTGTTTAGGAAGTTGCGTGGGTTCTAATTTTCTCCCCTTCACTTTTCTTATTCCATGACTGGTTGTTTCTTTCCCTCCACCCATCTTCCCCGCCACTGATAGGCTTTTATTAAAAAGTCCAAAAA